TAACAGCTGTACATCCTCCAGCTGTCCAAGAACGACTGACCACAGCACTCACCTACATTAGGTAGAGCAGCCCATTAGCCACATTTGTGTGGCTGCTCTCATGCTAATGCCTCCTAACAAAATTGTTTGAGAACAACTGCTGTGCTCCCTCTCATTATTGCAAACATATCTAAATATTCCCCAGAGCTTATTTTCTTAGGAACAAGTATTGGCAGGTCCTAAACTGGAGATGGGAATGTTTGATAGTTCTCAGGTGTAGCGCCAGTCCTTGGCTGTGGCTTATGTGTCTCCTTGCTTATGCCAAGAGGTCTAAATATCTAAATATGCAAAAGCTGGACAGACCTGGGTATCTGCAGGGAAGCAACATGCAGAGAGGGCTCAGATTGCAATCTTTTGCAGGTTTATGATATAGTGTGTCCTGCTGGGGTGCCCATGAGGTGAGAAGGATTGAATTCACTCATATGAAGCAGGCATTACAGTGGCGCTTTCCCCAAAAGTATCTCTGGAGATCCTGATATTACTTTCCTTCTCTTTTAATGAATAATGAAGTCTGCTTCCCTCCAGTTCTATTGGGAAAACCAAACTGCATGTAACAGTCTATGTGATGTCATCTTAATGAAATTTTTCTACAATATCCTGTATCTAAATCAGGACTATTTCCCTTTCTCATTTGCTCAGCTGGAGGTGAAACTCCTATTCCTGCCTTTTAGGTAATCCTTCACCACATTTTTCCTTTGCTTGAGTACATCTGTTTGTTCTATCTGAACTATCTGCTTAGATTGCAGAGTAGCTTTTTTTAAAATTGCCAAATACACCTTAACTTTCCAAAATATTGTTCCTGCATGTATTTCTTTCACATAGAGAAGAACGTGTTCCAAACAGAAATTTGACATTATTAAAGTTATTTTATGTCTTTTCTGCAAAACCATTAAAAAAAAAAAAAAAAAAAGATCCAAGCTTCTCTCTGTGTCATAAAATTTCTGAAACTTCAATTTATTTTAAGATAGTAGATTGTAACTGATGGAGATCAGAAACTGATATGCATATATTTAATGGTCCTTGTTGAGAATGGGAAAAGGGTAGCAACTGCTGGGAGAAAAGCCAGGCAGAAAAATTGGAACAGTGACCATTTTAGCCACCTCCATTTCAGCCACCGATAAATGTGAATCAAAGCTCTGTGAAGCCACAATTGAGAGATGGAATATTTACAATTCCTCCAGCAGAGGTTACTGAAGTAAATGTGTTCAAAATAACAAGAATAAGCAACAGCAGTTTTTCATTTTGCTGATATGTCACTTACAGTCTATGCTTTTCCACTGTCTATATGCTATGAAGTCTCTAGACAACTGTTAAATCTCATAGCCTCACAACAGTTGCTACCTTATTACACTGTGCAGTCAAATCAATGAAAAGTTTTGGTCATTTATTTACAAACGTACACAAGATAAAGGCTTAAAAATATATATATTTTACTTTAATTTTGATAATTTCTAAAGGTATATCTGTAATATACACATCCACTCCAATTTATTTAATCCTTGTATCCTTATTTTATGTTACACAGTGTTAGCAAAGAGGACCTTGAAAGTCACAATTTGATTAGCTCTTCTCTAAATTATCTTCCCATTGAAGCATTACAGAACTCAGGTGCACTTTTCCTGCAATGTTTTTTTTCTGGTATTTCATTCTTATGTGGTGGAAGTCGCAATTTTTCCCTTTATTGCACTTATTCATAGTTTCACATTCTATGAAACACAATTTTACAGTAAACTAAAATCTTTCATCTTATATACGTTTTTGGTATTTACAAAATAGTCATTGTAGATAAAACCATGAGACGGGAATAGAATTACACTTACCAAAGACTACCTATTCATACAATCTGAATTTTTGGTTGCTAATGTGTACTTAAACACTGTATTCACATTATGTGTTATATCTGTTAATACAAAAAGGTTGAGCTGTAGTGTAGTCTTTGTGATTCTTAAATACCTACAAAAGGCAATGATAATATGCTTTTTTTCATAATTGGTTACAGATTAATGAAATATTCCTCAGAGCTCTGTTCTGTTCAGCATATTACCCTGTCTCCCACCAGATATCAGTATTGATTGAATCCTTCCTGGTTCTTTATGAACGACCTATGGCCTACCTCTCCCCTTGTTAAAACTCAGGTTATCGCAAAGCGCTCTAGTTTTTATCATGAAAGTATTTCCTTATTTCAGTAATTACCGTAAAATGCACAAGGAATAATTAGGTGGGTTGTATTTAGAGTGGGAAGAGGATTCAGAATTGGCTTAAGGTAAACCTTTGTGCATACATAGTCTGTGAGATGTGTAAGAAAAATCCAAACACTAATATAGTTTTAAATTGTACTACTATTAGAGAAAATACATAACAAGATAACATTCTCTGAGGAGGAAGAGCATAATTGCTAAACTGCTATGCTAGTCCTTGCACATCTTAAATTACCAGAGAAACAAAGATAATTTCCATAAATATCACCAGAAGTTTAGGAGATTGCTTTCTTGTACAAAGCTGCAGTTTTGTAACATCAGATATCAAACGACTATTTACTTGAAACTAAAATGCAACGTGAAAAGTAAATAGCTTGATTTACTTAATAATTGGTACAAAAATTCATATAAAACAAGCAAACAAAAAGAAAACACCCCACACAAGGCAGTAGAGTAAGTTTGCCTCCCTTGTACTGAAATTCCAGGACGTCAAAATAAGCCAACTGTATGTTCATAAATCTCCAGATATTAATAAATTGCTTATGTTTCTATAAAAAGTGCAATAGGAGGCTGTATGAGACACTATTTCACTAGACTTTAGCGTTTTAAGAGGTAAAACACATGGTCAAAGGAACTGGTTCTTAATCCATATTCAGAGCTGAAAGAAGAGTTTGTGTTACTTCCTCCTCTTCAAAATCAGTTTAAACTGTCAAAATAGCTTTAAATCGGAAGATTTCAACTTTGACCCCAAGAAAACCCTCTAAAGAATCAGACTGAGTTGTTGCTGTAACATTTATGTCAAAAGGAAATTTTTAATTTGCAAGGAAAAACAAAAGTTTCTCTCTTCAGAGGTCTCTCCAGCAGCAGCACACGGGATTTATCGCCTCTCCTTTAACTCAAACCGCGTGTTTGCCGCTGGAAACTCTCCCGAACGCAAGTACCTGCTCTTCTCCTTCCTCACCGGGGAAATGGGGCGATTTGGTGGCAGAAATTCCGAGGAAAATACACTTTTGTTAGTCCAAAGAAACACAAATCGAGCACACCGAAGGGCTCCCCGGCCGTGCAGCAGGGCGGGCTCTGCAACGCACCAATCACCGCGCGGCTCCGCTCTAAAAATACGAGCATCTGACCCGCGCCAGCCCAATTGTGTTCGCCTGCTCCGCAGAGGACGCCGCCGCGATGTCCGAGACCGCTCCCGCCGCCGGCCCCCGATGCGCCCGCGCCCGGCGCCAAGGCCGCCGCCAAGAAGCCGAAAAAAGCGGCGGTCGGCTCCAAAGCCCGCAAGCCCGCGGGGCCCAGCGTCACCGAGCTCATCACCAAGGCCGTGTCCGCCTCCAAGGAGCGCAAGGGGCTCTCCCTCGCCGCGCTCAAGAAGGCGCTGGCTGCCGGCGGCTACGATGTGGAGAAGAACAACAGCCGCATCAAGCTGGGGCTCAAGAGCCTCGTCAGCAAAGGCACCCTGGTGCAGACCAAGGGCACCGGTGCCTCCGGCTCTTTCCGTCTCAACAAGAAGCCTGGAGAAGTGAAGGAAAAAGCTCCCAAGAAAAGGGTGCCCGCAGCCAAGCCTAAGAAGCCGGCGGCCAAGAAGCCAGCCAGCGCCGCCAAGAAGCCCAAGAAAGCAGCGGCCGTGAAAAAGAGCCCTAAGAAGGCTAAAAAGCCGGCGGCTGCGGCGGCCAAGAAAGCGGCCAAGAGCCCCAAGAAAGCCGCAAAGCCAGGCCGCCCTAAGAAGGCAGCGAAGAGCCCGGCCAAGGCAAAAACGGTGAAGCCCAAAGCAGCCAAGCCTAAGGCAGCCAAGCCCAAAGCGGCCAAGGCGAAGAAGGCAGCGCCGAAAAAGAAGTAAATTATAATACCAGAAGAGTCCTGCTCTACATATTTTGTTATCCAACGGCTCTTTTAAGAGCCACCCACACTTTCCCTAAAGGAGCTGAGGCACCGAGGTCGTCCATAACCTGCAGCAGGGATCCAGTAATTCGTAAGTCGTCAAGAGGTCAATTGTGTCTTTTTTTTTTTTTTTTCTCCCTAGGATTACCGAAAGAAATGTTAACGAGCGCGGTATAACGCGGCGGCTTTAGGGAAGTGTAGACTTTTTTTTTCTCCGAGTAATTAGTTTGACTACCAGGAAGCAATGTTAAGCAATGTTTTGTAATGATTTGATAAAAAAAGGATGTATGTTTTTTTAAAAGATGTATTTTGTAACAAAATAATGCAATTGCCAGGCACGCTACTACTGAGCCATGTCTAATCTATTGTATTATTTTTCTTAAGGTGTCTCCTTAAATGCTTTTGTTTATCTGGGGGAGGAGGGGAGGGTTTCTTTATTGACACGAAAATAGCCCTGAGCTCTCCCAGTCCTTTTGTTCCCGCTGAGAAAGAAAGCTTGAAGTATTGAAAAAGCCCGCTCTGACCAAGGATTGGCCAGCGGAGAGCCCGGCCCGCTGGCCCCCCCTTCCCCCTCCCTCCCCGAACATTACGCCTGTTATCTCTTGAACAGTATCAGCCACTCTCGGAGAAGAAAAAGGCGGAAGAGGGGGGAGGGATGGGAACTCTCAACGAATAGTGTTCCCATGTTCTCCGACATAGCAACTAAACGGAAAATATCCCACACCAGGAAGAATTTGCATGGGGAGGACCTTTTGGCACGCCTTTGTTAACGAAAACCTGGAAAGCGTTGCTACTATCACCAAGCCAAAAATGCTGTTAATAAATACGGAAAAAGACAAAACACGGGTTGAGTGATTAATATAAATTGGCATAACTGTGGTATGGATAACTGAGCTCTCTTATGATTTTGTGGGTGGCTCTGAAAAGAGCCTTTGGATTATTTTCTCCGGAGGAGACAACGTGCCGCTTTTCTTTTTCGTTTACTTGGCTTTGGCCTTGTGGCTGTCGGTCTTCTTGGGCAGCAGCACGGCCTGGATGTTGGGCAGCACGCCGCCCTGCGCGATCGTCACCTTGCCCAGCAGCTTGTTGAGCTCCTCGTCGTTGCGGATGGCGAGCTGCAGGTGGCGGGGGATGATGCGCGTCTTCTTGTTGTCGCGGGCCGCGTTGCCCGCCAGCTCCAGGATCTCGGCCGTCAGGTACTCGAGCACGGCCGCCAGGTAGACGGGCGCGCCGGCGCCCACCCGCTCGGCGTAGTTGCCCTTGCGCAGCAGGCGGTGCACGCGGCCCACGGGGAACTGCAGCCCGGCCCGCGACGAGCGCGACTTGGCCTTGGCCCGCGCCTTCCCGCCCTGCTTCCCGCGCCCGGACATCTTCCCTGGCTCGCTCGCCGCTTGGAACAACTCGCTGCAGGACCGAGTGGGCAGACGGCGCTCCCCGTCTACAGCCCCGCTTTAGTACCTCGTCCCTTCGCTGATAGGCTGAGAAGTAGGTCTCGTCTGAGCAGCCAATGACGAGGCGAATCGAATTCTGACCAATAAAACCAGGCTATTGAGGAATGGTGATGCCTTTTATTTTGCCCAATGAGAGTGAACAAAGCTGATGCTTCATTTGCATAAGGGGGCTATAAATAAGTGGCACAAAGTCGATCACGTCACTTCGCTTCTGCCCGGGACGTGGAGCTGTTGTAGTGATTTGTGGCAGACGCACGTTCGCAGCCATGCCCGAGCCGGCCAAGTCCGCGCCCGCGCCCAAGAAGGGCTCCAAGAAGGCCGTCACCAAGACGCAGAAGAAGGGCGACAAGAAGCGCAAGAAGAGCCGCAAGGAGAGCTACTCCATCTACGTGTACAAGGTGCTCAAGCAGGTGCACCCCGACACGGGCATCTCCTCCAAGGCCATGGGCATCATGAACTCCTTCGTCAACGACATCTTCGAGCGCATCGCCGGCGAGGCCTCGCGCCTGGCGCACTACAACAAGCGCTCCACCATCACCTCGCGGGAGATCCAGACGGCCGTGCGGCTGCTGCTGCCTGGCGAGCTGGCCAAGCACGCTGTCTCCGAGGGCACCAAGGCTGTCACCAAGTACACCAGCTCCAAGTAAATAGCTGCTAGAAATACTGTATAACCCAAAGGCTCTTTTAAGAGCCACCCAACTTTTCAATAAAAGGGCTGTACAGTCAACTGAGAACACTTTAGTTTCCTAGTGTGGAACCTTATCTTGCAGTTTTGGGGAGTTTGTGCATGCCACTTATGGCTAGTTCTGTTAACATACTGGTTTGTAGTTTAATGTGTTATTGAACATAAACTAATTGGGCAATAAATCACTATAACTAGAGGCATTTTTAACTTTTCTCAAGGTGATACCACTTTTTGTTAATCTATGGTTCTCTTGCAATTTTTAATATCGTGTTATATGTGAGCAATACCTCACTGATCTCAGGGTTTGTGTTATATGTGTTGTAAATTAAAAGACTAAAATATTTCTGCATTTTTTTTTAGCCAGGAAAATCAAAATTATTACTAATGGATTCTTATCCATGTACAGCATAGCTATTGTAAGATCTACCATTTGATGCTGCTCAGTCTTTGGGGCTTTTGGTAGTTTTTATGGTAGCAGAAGTAAGAGGACTGCAGTGCACTGCACTATAAAAGTATTTATGTAGTAACAAGTGACATTTATCTTAAAGATGTTACCAATAACCCAGTGATTAATACAATTCAGAAGTACTTTCTACAGTCTTTGTCTTCAACAGTTGTCTTAATTATTATACAGGTCATGTGAATTTTACAGTAACTTGCCTAGCTTCTCCCTATGACTGCTTGAGGTTCCTTTTGCAATTAAAAAAAATATGTGAAGTTCAATACTTTTTATACATATTTGACATCTCCTGCATTTATATGTCATTAATTGTATTAAAACTATTAAATATTAAGAAACTGGGCTGACTTTGCAAGCTATCAGTTTTTCATATAGCTACTTGTCAGGCTCAAACTACGGGTTTTTAGAATCACTCCATCACGTTCTTGGATAATTAAATGCTACCATAGACACAGATCAAAGCTATTATCACTTTTCAGCTGGGTCTGAATAATCCTGAATTTCAAGTATATATTCTGGACTTCTGAAGATACTGAATTCATAGAGGGACTCAGCCTTCCTAGTATTGACTGCATGTTGTTTGGTAGTACAGGTAACGAGACAGGCACCAGGTCTCTCAAATCTGACATCTATTACCTAATCAAAGTTAATTTCAGCTTGAAGGTTTATGGGGACTTCTCAGATTGGATTTCACATATCCAGTGGGAATTGCCATCCTCTGTACTCCATACTCTCCTTCAGCAGCTCGAAATGGCATTTTAGACATCTGCTCACCAAGTGCTTTGCTGCAAACTCTGGAACACAGGTTGCATATTCTGGACCTCTGTATGTGTCCAACGCCTAAGAAGATTAATGAACCACAGTATATTCCAATCTCTAGGTTTTTATAAGGGTACCTGGCTCACTAGAAAAGGACTTTAGTAAAGGATTATATCATATGAGCACATAACTATGTTCATATTTAACATGATGATAATCACCAGAAGAATTTTACACTGGCTATTATTCTCTATAATCAGTCATGTAAAAGCACCCTAGTTCAAAATACAGCTATCACAAGGCAGCCCTGTTGCCTACGTTAAAATAGGAGCTTGGTGGTGCCTTTTGGACTCCCAGCTCATAAGCATTCATATTGCCTTTCCTGTCTTTATATGGTCCAGGTTGCACACTTCATTAACATAGCTGTCATAGAAATTTCAGGGATTTTTTAATAGATTATTTCAGTATGGGAAATTGTTTCTAGGCCCATGAAACTTCACTCAAGAAAATTAAATGCTGCTATGATTGTTTCTTTCAATTTCAGTATCAATGATAAGGCAACATTAGGGGACTATAATGTGAACATAGCATTTGACATCAGATCTGATTGTAACACAACCCTTAATTTTCTAACAGTGCTGAGAAAAAAGTCTCTGAACTGACAAAAAGCAACTAACATGGAATATTTTTGTGCTTGTTCTTTTCACCAGAGGTAAAAGTAGTAGGATTTGAGCTCAGCAAAAATAACCAATTCGATTTCATGTCTCAGGAGAATGTGAACTTTCAAACACTCAAAACATTCCAACCCAATAATGCAAATAGTGTGAATATACATATTTTCATACATATATAGGGTGTGAACATGAAATCACATGGCTGCTTATTTTTCCATCATTCATGTTCTTTGCTGTTCTTTCCTATTTAGTTCAAAGCAGTGCTGTTTGTATTCTTAATTCCCCTCTACAGAGATGACATCAACAGCAACAGTAAGATGACATTTTTCAAATACATTTTCTGGTCACTGGGCTGGTCATCTTCTGAAGTTTTTTCATTCTCTTCAGGTTATTTCCATGATCTTTCTTCATTCTGCTTCTATCTTGGCAATTTCAGGTTGTTCTGTGTTCGTGGCATTAATTTTATCAAAAAGTTCAGGCTCTTGTACCCTAAGGCTTCAACTTGTTGAGCTTCCAGTGATAAGCAAGGCTATTAATCCTAACAATTCTCAACACTGGGATGTGCTAGAATGCATAATCTTTAAACAGGCCCTTCGTGTTGTATTTTTATCTACCCTCCATGTCTGCCTTCAAAATACCTCTTGATTCACATTAGCTGAACTATAGGCTGTATCTGCATTTGGTTATGCAAAAATATTTGTTAAAATACTTTTTTTTTACCATCACTTTTTTGTATCTTAAATTACCAGAGTTACATTACAGTTTAGTAGTGTAGTGAATAACCGGCAATAAATAATACTGAAGAACAATACAACCAGTACAAAATTTCTCATATCTTATTTTTATTAGAGTAATAAAATTAGTAGCACTCCTGGAAAATTCTCTAGATCACCATACCTACAGTAAAATTTATTTATATCCACTGTCATGTTTAAAAAAGAAAACCAACACCCTCTGCTTTTATTTCTACAAAAGTGAAACACACAAAATTTAAAATATAAAATTTTAAAAATATATAAAATTTTAAAAAATAACTGTATTGTTTAGTTAACTGATTGAATAGTGAATTAGAAATTAGAAATAGGTGTCATACACCTGATCCAAAACCTGACCAACTATCTGTAGCAATTTTCTACTACTTCACAGTTTTGTTTGTGGTTTTTTGAGTATTTTTGTTGTTGTTGTTTCATTTGTTTTTTATTAATGGAATAAATCAATATCTGCTCACCTGCTTATGAAATCAAATTCTTTTTCCTAATGGCCACAGATTATAACTACTTGACACACAGGGCAAATTATTGCAATGTTATTGTCACAGAGACTTTCTTTTTCAGTTTTAATAAAAAAAGAATATATTTTAAAATAATTAGCATTGTAGGAGAAAGTATTGACGGCAGCTTGGGAAAAATATTTGGTCTTACACACACCCATATATAATGGTTTTGGCCAGTAATGAAAATGTGCCCAGTTCAAATTGCAAATGAAAAAAAAATGAGACTTTGTGTTCCAAAACTGGTGTCAGGGTTAAGCCGTTCGGAGCACAGGACAGCTCAAGACAGGACACAAATCTCACTGGAGAAGAGGACTAAAAGTAAATGGGAACATAGCTGGGAACTTCTCCCTTCCCATCTCATACACTTACAAGAAAGGAAGAAACATTTCAATGAGCAGGAACAGCTCTTTCCTCAAAGATTGGGGTCACAGAACAAGAGGCTTATGTAGGTAGAAAGGCCTTTTAGGCTGTGAGTTAAGTTTCTTTCATGGCTACAAAGAACTAAATTACTTGACAGCAGCCCTGATGGAGTGGTTGTTCCAAAAGCATTTCTTGTAAAAAATGATAATACATATTAATCACAAAGGTTCATCCTTTCATTTCTAACACTGAAAAGCTCAGGAAGCAATTCTGCTTGCATTTCAAAACTAGAAAATAAGTTGCTTGTGTGTGAAAGGAATAACAGAGTAGCTTGGAATTTTAATCACTAATAAAATCCACAGTCTTTTTGTATTTGTAGTTCTATTTGTATTTTCATGTAGATGTTTTACTTGCAAAGGTTACAGGAAAGTGGAAGAAACAATTCCCGAAATAAGAAGAGAGCACACATGGAGAGTTACATCTGAAACTTGGACTTCAGACAGAGGAAAGGATATTGACCTACCTTTGTGCAACATCAGATCTGTGAAGAAATGTACACACCTCCTGTAAGCCTCCCTTTTCTTTTTGTAGCAGGTAGCAGCCACTACAACGTTAAACAATCTGAACACTGGACATGATCAAGTTTTTATTTCTGCGTTATGCACTTGGGACACATCAAGGTTAGTATCTTTAATCATCCTGCTAGGAAAAGAGGACAAGAATTACCATAGGAATGACATAGCCCCAATCTTTCTACACATAGACATGTCTTTAAACAGAGCTGCCTCCACCTGTGCTCCAAGCACCAGTGAACCAGACTAGCTGCACCACAGGCAAACCCGGGTGCTTGGACTCAGCTGAGCTGGCTCAGGAAGCCAAATTTACCTGAATCAGTTCCGCTCTCTACATGTGGGGGCTTTTGAATACCTTCCATAGGTACAAATCCTACGAAAGAAGTGAAATGGTCACATGGATGTAAAGCATATTTAGCTGCTGGAGTTTTAGCCTTAGCTGATATTTAAATGTCAGGCAAAACCTCATGGGATGTGTATGTGTCATAATTCAGACTTATCATCGCAGCTTCTAATTGTGCATTTATTGACAGGTTAAAAATAAAACAATGACGATTTCCAAAATGTTGATAAAGGCAATCAGGGTGATTAACACTTCTAACAGAATGAAGGCAGGTAAGTCACCTACTCTTTTTGTTTTCATTTTTACAGTATTTTCCATCTGAGAACATTTGCATGGAAGATCGTATTTCTCAGCAGGATATGGCACAGAGTGAAGACATCAGGTGAACAACAGGTGAAGACAACAAGAAACTGCAGAAGAACTGTAGTTTATTTACAACATTTATCTAAACTAAGTAATGTGTACTCTTCTGTTTTACCTACAGGCTTCTTTATTGACAATGAAAGAGTTAAAAATCGGTTGATGGGGGGGGGAAGTGAAGAGGAAATAGATTGCTTCTGGATTTAAAAATCTAATAGCCCACTCTGCTCTTTCAGGAGATATCCAACCCTTTTCTTTGCCTTCTCCCCGCTGTTCCCAGAGGACTCTTGCAGTGCAGGGGGGTTGGAGGAGGCTGCAGAGCAGCATAGCCCACTCAGTCCCCAACCCTCGCAATGCCCCCATTCCCCCTGCAAAGTCCTTTTCTGCCCAGCTCAACACCCCTTCCTACTTCTCTTCAAATTGTCTCATGTTACCCTGCTCTTCCTCCTTAGACTCTTCTGTAATGGACCTTGGCTTCCTCCTTCCAGAGGCAGATTAGTCCTTGAATCCCTGTCTCTGACACTGGTGTGGGGAGCGGGAAAATATAGTGTTTGTCATGGCTAGCCTGACAAACCTGAAGAATTAAGAATTTCATCACCACTGGAGAAACAATGGGTCCTGGTGGGAACAGTCCACTCTGTTATTCACCCCCGGCTGCATTTATGCTTCAGCTGGGCTATCCTCTGTTAACGTGCCCAAATGAAACTTGTGTGATTAAAGAACATGGAAAAGCCAAAGTGCTCAATAGGTATTAAAAGGCCTGTGAGTGTTTTGGTTATTTTTTTCTGGTTCCTTCTCTCAAGGAACAAAACACACAATGAAGAAAAAACAAATAAAACACAAATTCATACGTGATTCGTTCATTTCAATGCGCAGCTATCTTGTCAATCCAGGGGCCACTGTGCACTCTGCCATCTGAAACTGTACACGTACCCCTTTCCTCAAATGTGGTGGGAGAAGATGGATGTGTAGTGGGGGGTTTGGGTGGGGGGTGCAGTGTCAGTGGATGGGCTGTGTGGGAGCAGGACCTGCTAGTAGGGACAGGAGGGGAGTGTGAGTGATGCACTGCCAAGAAAGCTGTCTTATCAGAGGTGCTAAATGGGTCCCAGGAGGCAGTTTTCTCTTTTTCTCCTTCTGATCAGAGGCATTTTCACATTCCTCTCCCATTCTGCTGATATAAAATCAAGTTATTGTCAAAAAAATATCCAGGTATCTGTCTGTGCTGGTTATAGGAAGCTACCAGTGTTCACAACTGCATTGTTAGGAAATACATATATTTTAAAAACCAATCTCCTTAGTTACCCCAGTTTTGGTAAACCATGTCTATAAAATATCTTCCCAGAAGTGTCTGGGTGTACAATATACATTCAAGGCCCTGTGACCCTTCATAATTTAGACCTCATGTAGCCATATTTTTTTTTGGCTTTGTTTCCCACATGTATAATTCAAAACTAGAACTGTGTAATGACTAAACTCATTCTTCAGCAGGGAAGAAAGAGGAACGACTACAAAAATAACTATTAATACTCTATCTTCTTGACTATTACCATTGTATAGTTGATAGCCAAGCATTCATTTATAAGGGAAAGAAGCCCACAAAATTGTTCTCTTGAAAGTTTATGCAGTCTACAAAGTAAAATTTAAATCCACTCACACAACAACAAGATAATGTACCCAGGGTTGTTCATAGAAGTCTGTCCCATTGTTTATTACAATCTGATATGCAGATGAGAGTTTCATTATGTAGAACACACAAACACAGATAGGAGTGTAAACTTCCTTCCCTTATATAGGAGTGAATATATCACCAACTTAATTTTAGGAAAATTAAACTCAGTAAACATCAGGTCCACAGATATGTCAGCTCACATCTCTCTTTTTCCCCAGACTGGAGGATAGAGCTGGGGAACACCACAGTCACACTGAAAACTGCTCCTGTTTCTCCAGTGCCAAGAACCGCAGAAGAGAGCCCCAGAAAGACAAGAAGCTGTCAGGCTTCTCTGGTCAAGAGCTTGCACAAGACCACAAGAAAAGCCACACTAAAGCCAGAAGTAAATCAGAAGCAAGCAGGGCAGCACCAAAGCAGAGAAACAAACTTTTAGCCACATTGTGCCCTGCTGCATGGCAGCAGCTTTTCTAAGAACAACTCACTTTCTCCCAAAACAAAGTGTGAGCTCGAAACTCCCCATACCACGTGGAGAAGAGGACATGGATTCAGTGAGTAGTGCTAGCAAAATGAAATTAAGTGGTAGTGTTTTTGCAGTTGAACGCAGTGACTGTCATCTTAATGGAACGTGGCATCAGATGAGAACACTGAAGACTCTTCCCTGCTTGAAACCTTTCCCTAGTGCTTTACAATTAATTCTGCCAAGGAAAGCCAGTGGGATTCTTACATACATGATAGTGTTAAAACCCAGCAAAAATGAAAATCAGTCAGAAGCCCGAGGCTGGGAACACCCCTCATGTGGCAAAACAATTGGTTCAGGGTCACTGCCAGGACTTCGATGATTGTTTCAGGGCTTAATTTTTCATGTGCATGCTTTGCTTCCCTTCCCACTCCCTTTTCTCTCAGTTTGAAACCTGGAGGCACAACAGCAATCAGCTATTATTTAGTACTCTTGAACAGTAATAATATAGATTAGTAGTGACTTCAGTTAATGTTACCCTCTAGTAAATACTGCACAGCGCTTAAAAGAAAGCCAGAGCTGATTGGCTACAGATGTAATGTTTATGCCAGTTACAAACCCCATAATTGCTACTGCTAACAGATTGAAAATATCCACTTTCTAAAAGCAGAACAGTTTACCAAATAATTAAAAAATCCTAAAAAGGCAACAACCAACAAGATGAATTTTAGTGGGGAGCACAATTTCTTTAAAAATTTGAGCATCTACTATTAAAAGGCTTCCCACAAAACACAGGCAGATGGGACAAGAGAATACCATCACTAAAGCAAAGCCGAGAAAAAAAGGCAGCTTACAGATTTCTGCCTCAGTTCACTAAAGAAAACCACAATGACTCAGCCCTTTATGACCAAAGTGGGGGGCTCTGAAAAGAGCCTTTTTGTTTCTTGATTACTCTTCAGAAATATTTACTTGGCTTTAGCCTTGTGGCTGTCGGTCTTCTTGGGCAGCAGCACGGCCTGGATGTTGGGCAGCACGCCGCCCTGCGCGATCGTCACCTTGCCCAGCAGCTTGTTGAGCTCCTCGTCGTTGCGGATGGCGAGCTGCAGGTGGCGGGGGATGATGCGCGTCTTCTTGTTGTCGCGGGCCGCGTTGCCCGCCAGCTCCAGGATCTCGGCCGTCAGGTACTCGAGCACGGCCGCCAGGTAGACGGGCGCGCC